AAACAGAATACATGAAGGATATGTGGGAAACTTCTTGTTCCCTTGGCGTCTTCTGAATCCAAGTCTGCCACTTTGCTGTTTAATGCCATGTGGCCTCGAACCGTGTGCCTATAGTTCACCAAGATATCTATCAGTGTTCTGTGACATAGCTCCTTGATTTAGAATCAAATACTTTTAGATTTGGAAGGAACATTATACATCTTTTGATAAAACTATTTTCCCTTATAGATGAAGGAGGAGAATTCTGGAGGATAACTACCTTTCTTCAATCCACATAGCAGCAGATCTCTAGTCTAGACTGTTAATCTCATGTATTGATATACCACGCCTCTTCATAGCGTTCTATGACACTGTTCTAGATTGTGTTCTCTTTGCATGGACTTCAACCGGTTTTTTGTTTGTTTGTTTTTTGTTTTTTGCTGTTGTTGTAATTGTTGCTTTTAGACGTTAGCTAAAGATGTAGTTCAACCAATATCTTCTATTTTAAATGTATTATACTAGATAGCCATTAAGGATGCAAAGATAAGCAAGACATATTTCTTGCCTTTAGGGAGCTCCCAAGGGGAAAAAATAATATAATGATAAGAAATAAAACATAGCTGGTAAAATTACTCTATAATGTGTAACTTACATTAAGTGTCTTAAGATCATGGTACATATTCAGGGTCAATTTTATAAGGAGAAGGTAAGTTTTGAGTGGTTCTGGGTAGGTTTTCAGTCCCAAATATTTCTGCCATTACCTGTCATGGTATTTCATATTCCGCTATTACCTAATGGCTTATTTTCGTAATACAAAGCTTTTAGCCTTTCTAGAACACTGAAATATAAATATTCCTGAGGGCACAATCCCAAGCTATTATCACATACACATCTTCATAGAAAACAAGTGGGTGGAGGAAATCAAGTGTAGGAAAAGGTGTGGCAGACTGCTAGTTGTCTTGGAAGGGTTATAATGGCAAAATCTGTCCATTCTAAATTATATTATTTGCTGTGTAGATATGCTATAAATTTACTTTTTAAAATAATTTGGTATATTAAAATTGCTTAGAACAAATAGTTGTCACATAATAGGCCAGGTGCAGTGGCTCACAGATGTAATCCCAAAGCTTTAGGAGGCCGAGGCAGGAGGATTGCTTGAGGAAAGGAGTTTGAGACCAGCCTGGACAACCTAATAAGACCCTGCCTCTATCAAAAAAAAATTTTTTTTAATTACCCAAGCGTAGTGGTGTACACCTCTTGTCCCAGCTACTTGGGAGCTTGAGGCAGGAAGATCGCTGAACCCAGGAGTTTGAGGCTCCAGTGAGCTGTGATTGCACCACCACACTCCAGCTGGGGTGACAAAGGGTGACTCTGTCTCTAAAGCAAATATACAAACAAATAAGTTTGAAGTTGGGAAGATGAAGCGGAACAATACTTGTCGCATAATAATTACTATATAAATGTTAGTTATTATTACTATAATTTCTTAGTAATGTCTTGCTATGATTTTGTATTTTCAGCAAAAAATCTGAAAATTTTAGTTTTATATTTAAAGTCAAATTAAGTCTGATTATGATCACCCTGAAGCAGTTGTTAAACATAAACATAAACAAATGTGTATATATATATATATACACACACACACACATACATACATATATACACACACAGTAATGTACCACATAATGCTGTTTTGGTCAATAACAGACTCCATATACAACAATAGTCTCATAATATTATCATACTATATTTTTCCTGTACCTTTTCTATATTTAGATATGCTTAAATACATATATACTTATCATTGTGTTGTAATTACCTGCAATATTTAGTATAGTAACATGCTGTACAGGTTTGTAGCCTAGGAGCAACAAGCTATATCAAATAGCCTAGGTATATAGTAGGCTACCCCATCTAGGTTTGTGTGAGTACACTTTGTGATCTTTGCACAATGACGAAATCACCTAACAATGCATTTCTCAGAACATATCCCTGTTATTAAGCAATGTATGACTGTAAATAGTTTCATAGATTTTTGGGAATTACTAATCATGATGCTATTCTTAATCAAATGACTTGCATAAGAAACAATACCAGGGTGGAAATAAATAGGATTGGATTGCAGCATAAGTTATCTCATAATGTGCTAATACATTTCTCATATTTCAATGCATGTGTAAAAATCAATATACAAATTTTAGGATACTTTTCTCTAGGCCAGAGAACTGTTTAATCCATTAGGATTTAACAAAAAGTAAGAATTTTTGGAAATGTGGCTGATAAAGTCTAAAGTATCAAATAGTTTTCTTTCCAATTTATTCTTTATGTTTTATTTTTCTTTTTTTCTTTTTTTTTTGAGATGGAGTCTGGCTCTGTTGCCCAGGCTGGAGTGCAGTGGCCGGATCTCAGCTCACTGCAAGCCCCGCCTCCCGGGTTCACGCCATTCTCCTGCCTCAGCCTCCCGAGTAGCTGGGAGTACAGGCGCCGCCACCTCGCCCGGCTAATTTTTTTTGTATTTTTAGTAGAGACGGGGTTTCACCATGTTAGCCAGGATGGTCTCGATCTCCTGACCTCGTGATCCGCCCGTCTCGGCCTCCCAAAGTGCTGGGATTACAGGCTTGAGCCACCGCGCCCAGCCTCTTTATGTTTTATTATTGTTGGTTAATTTTGTTTGGTTTTGGAAAGTTAACATCTACAAACTTCCTAATTGACTGTTAGTGATTAATTCTTTGCCAGGATTATATAGACTAAACCCTACCATATCACCTATTAAAAATACACAATGAGATTGAAAAAAAATATATTTTGTTCCTTTAATGTGTACAATGTCTACATTGTTTCAAATACAGATAACCTTATAAATAAGAAAGAAAGAAAAGGAAGGAGGGAGGGGAGGGGGAAAAATAAAAACAAGCAAACGTATTTAAAAAGTTTACAAAGGAACCAAAAGTGATAGTTATTTTGACAGTCTTTGTAATTAATGATTGCTTCTGCAGGCATTCTAGGTATTGAATACCATTTAGGGTGATAGGATACAACAGTGATAGAGGATCTTGGCTTTGTTTTGTTGCCTCTCTCTATTCTCATGAATGCTACTAGGGCAGGGAGAATGTTAGCACCCATATCTTAATTTCCAAATTTGACTAGTATCTACCTAGGAGTGGATTTTATAGTGGAATTGGTGGATATTTCCTAACTATATCATTCCTTCCCAACTTAGATAAATGAACATGTGTCCAAAATTAATATGAGAGGGATTCAGGGATACTTTAAAATACCAAGGGATTTATCATATGTTTTTGAGCAGGATGGACATTCAATCACATCTGTATTAAGAAAAGTAACTTGGTGACAGCAAGCAAGATGGACTTGAAAGAGAAGAAACTGAGGGCATAGGACCATTTAGGGCAATTCAGTCATCCAATATTTGATAGCCTGAACTAAAGCAGAGGTTGGAATAAAGTGGAAGGAATGCCCTTAAGATTTCCTCTCCCTATTCATAATCCATAAGCTTAAGTGTACCTGTTGTTTAAGTGAAGTACTTGTAAATGAGTATTTCTAATTTCTTTTCCTAACCTTTCCTTTCATTCTGGGAGACCGTTCCCCTTAAATTTACTTTTGTTTCCCTTTTCTCATCTTATTTCTTCTATGCTTCCAAAGTCCCAACTGACTAATCAAATTTAGGAAAGAACTCCCTTTCACCTCATACCTTCCTGCAAACTTAGTTATTCTTCAAGGCTATATCATTGTTGACTTCCTAAATGCTATCCTTAAATCATCTTCTCTTTGTTGTTGAAAGTAACTTAATCTTAGGAAGGTGATATGATACAAGACAAAGAGCTTAGTTCTTGAAACTTTGCCTCAGGGCCTGCTTTACAGTGTACTAACTGTGTGACTCTAGACCTTTGCCCCAAGTTAGTTCATCTGAGTAAAGGAAATTGTAACGTATTTCTTCCATTCCCAGTATGCTACTTTGAAAATCAAGTGATGTAATGAGTATGAAATTGTAAGCTAAGATAATTTTTCAGTGCTTATCCTTATCAGTCAGCTCTATTTTCTCACCTGTATAAAACACCTAATAGAAGGTCCCATCTGTGTTTTGTAGGGTCAAACGTGATGCCATCTATGAAAGCACATTGGAACATATAATATTATATAAATCTTACTAATAAATGAATTTATGCTATTTTATTTTATTTAGAGAAAGGGTCTCACGGTCACTCAGGCTGTAGTGCAGTGGTGCAATAATAGCTCACTGCAGCCTTGCTCTCCTGGGCTCAAGTGATTCTCCCACCTCAGCCTTCCAAGTAGCTGAACTACAGGCACATGCCACTATGCCTGGCTAATTTTTTAAAGTTTTTTTAGAGATAGAATCTCTAAAAAAAAAAAAAAAAAAGATCTAAAAAAAGAGAACCTATGTTGTCCAGGCTGGTCTCAAACTGTATGCTCTTTAAATTATAGTGCTCAGATAGAATTGGCTACATAGTGTGATAAAGACTAGCTGGAATATAATTACTTTGCAGACATATGGGTTTCTTAAATATTACTTACTAAAAAGTCACCTCATAGTTAAGTCTCCATGAATATAATCATTCTTCAAATTACCTAATATTTATTAAATTAACTTTAATCTATAAAGATGGGATACATACAATGATCATTTAAGAATTTCAAATCTTAAAGCTTGTTCCTCTGTATTTTATTGAATTTTAAAAACAAATAAATTTACAACTTTTAATTACATGCCATTTTATTAATTCTGTTCTTTTTATGACTTTAATTCTGTTTGGGATATACTGAAAGTAAATTTTAGTGCTTTGGAATTTGAAATTTATTAAGCAGAATTTTAATGTCACATTTCTATATTTAAAATGTTAACTGCCTATTACATAGTTTATGTGAGAATTTAGGAAAAATATCCCCCCAAATCCCATAGATCCCTGAAGTGTATTTAGATTCTTGTTATGCACATTGTCTAATGTTTCTGATAAGCTCTGATTATTATTTTTGATTTATACTAGAAGTTACATGGGAAGATCAGCAGAGAAAGGTGAATGGTACAATAAGTGATGACAAACCATTGCCGAAAAAGAAACATCAATCTGAGCCAGGTTTGTCAGGCTTTGGAAACCATATGAAAGCATGAGACTACAAGCATTGCATTTCATGCTTTCTAAAATGCGTGTGTGCTTGTTGTACCTCATTTTTCTCATTTTGGTGTGAACTTGATAGTGTGTAGATTCCATTTAGATTAGAGTGGCAAATACTTTATTTCAAGATTTGTTTAGAAAACTAATTACACATACTTTGGGAAAAATATAATTATTTTATTCTTATGAAGATTAGTCCTTTAGGGAAAAAATGACTAATTTAAACACAGATGGTCATCCACTTTACATATTTGATTACGTTGACTAAAACTGAAGTACTTCAATGCAGAGGTACTTGCTTCCCTAAAAAGTACAATAAAAGCTTAATATACTATCTAAAGTTTGTCTTTGTAGGATATTTCTATTATTTAACTGCAAATGCTATTGAGATATTTACACCATATACTGGTAATTATTTATTTACAATCTCGGGAGATAAAATATGTTGCCAACCACAAGGAAGAGGGTTAGCATAGTATGTGAATTCAATAAGGAGTCTCTTCAAACTGTTAATTCTACCAGTAAATTGAAACAAAGTGTTTTTGTTTTCTTCTCCCTTTCTTCTTTTTTTATGGAGAGATATGATTAACCCATTTATGCTGGAGGTTGCACATTTTTTGTGTGTGAAAAATCAGACCTTGACAATGAACTTAAGCGGTAGGATATAAATAATTCCCACAAGCTTAGCATTCCAATTATGAAACACTAGGCATAAATGGGTTAAGTAGAAGACAAAACTTGAACCAAGAATAAAATTTAAAAAGGCAAAGTGCAGAGATAATTGATTAACTAAAAATCCAGTACTACTTTTAATTAGTAATTGGATGAGAATACATTGATTCATTGAAAATTTAAAAATTCAAATGGAGTTTTACTAATGATATTATAATTTAAAATGTTGTGTCTGTAGTAATAAAGTATTTTTATGTACTGACTCATTTCATGTTAAAGCTCTAAGATTCATATTTTAAAAGATGTCAATGTAAAAATTAAACTAGTGTTTAACAAGTGTTTGTTGCCATCCTGCTGTATTCCAAGCATTTTAGTTGGCACTGACTTATTAGTGTAGACAAGACAGATATAGCAATTACCTGTCTTGCTTATTATGTTTGCATATTATGCATATTATGTCTGCAAAAATACATAATTTAAAAATAATTATACTCATGATTAAGCTATTACAATTGTAATAAGTGCTTTAAGGAGGATAGGATGCTTTGAGAAAATGTATCATGTAACATAAGTCTGAAGAGCAAAGAAAGATGGCATAGTGAAAACTTAATCTGTGAATTTTTTTTAGTAAAACAGTACATACTGAAAATGTAATAAAATAAACTGGAATTCACATTGGGAATTTAAATTTATTCATAAAGTTGTAAGAAAATATATATCTTTTCAAATCTTCAGTTAATATCAGTTTATTGGGAAAACAGTGATTAGCTTAATATATTTAAGGATATTTTTAAGTAAACAAGATAAATATAAAATCAATGTTTTGTTATGATTTATATATCAAAAATTATTACTGTAAACCTCTCCCCTTGCTACATTGTATGATACATGTTATCCTTGATCATAAACTATTATTTATTTGTTGTCCACTTTGTCATCATGTCCAATACATGAATGTGTGGCCATATATATCTATGTAAATAAGTTACATGGTATATTAAAACACAAAACAATGCAATGTTTAACTAAAAAATATTTTGACATCTCAGAAACACAACATTTTAAAGATCTACTTTAAATATTTTATTTAGTTGAATTTAACTATAGTGCCTTAATGTCATAGTTTAAAATGATTATAGTTTTTTTTTGTTTTGGCGATTATGTATTTTCCTGTATCCTAGAAAATTGGTCCTGGAAATTGAAACCCTAAATGTCGTAAGTATGCAATATTCTAAGGCAGTAAAAACAATGTTAAATTTTAGTACTTCATAAATATTCTTATCTGTTTGTTTCTAAAAGGAAATTAGGATATTTAAAGAATATGTTTAATTATGAAAACTTTGGAGTAATGAAATGAGAAGAAAGTAGTAGGATACAGATATAGCAGATTATATTGCAACAACATGTTTATATGAGCCTATGCTTTACAGAAGACATGTTTGGAGTTATTTCTTTTATGTTTAAGTGCATTTATATTAATAATCTATTGATTATAAACAGTGCTTAATATCTAATTTTTATGTGCTGAAATCTAAGAAACCCACTTCAATAAATTGCCAAAGATTCCTCGTCAAAGGGTTGGTTAATTTGGCAAACTTGTGGGATCAGAAAAACTGTATGGGATTGAGCCCAAACTTGAGATGGAAAGTTGGCTGTGCATCAATAGCATCTATTGTTTTCTTTTTCAATTGATGTTTTATGAAAATCTATGCCAGAACAATTTATAATGCCTGGGAATTTGCCATTTCTGGGATGTTTACTAGCAGTAAAAATAACACTTGAATTTTTTATTTTAAATGTGAGACTATAGAACCAATGAGCTAAATGGCATGACATGGACTAGTAAATGAGTTAACAAGTATTTGGATGAATTTTGAGTACTATGACTAATATCTGCTTTTTTTAAAGAATAATCTTAGTATTTCTTAACTGGGATGTCTTGAGAGGATTATCAGCAAAAGAAGTGATTTGCTTGCAGTATCTTTTTTTTTTTTTTTTAAACAGAGTTTCACTCTTGTTGCCAAGCTGGAGTGCAGTGGTGCGATCTTGGCTCACTGCAACCTCCACCTCCTGGTTCAAGCGATTCTCCTGCCTCAGCCTACCAAGTAGCTGGGGTTACAGGCACCCGCCACCACTCTTGGGTAATTTTTGTATTTTTAGTAGAGATGGAGTTTCACCATGTTGGCCGGGATGGTCTCAAACTCCTGACCTCAGGTGATCCGCCCGCCTCGGCCTCCCAAAGTGCTAGAATTATAGGCATGAGCTATGGCGGCCGACCCTACTTGTAATATTTTTATCTTAATTGACATCAGTATAGATAAAGATCCCTGGGAAATGTAATATTTATCATATTAATATCTTTCATGTGAACATAAAATATATGAATCCTATGTATTATTTTAAACCCAAGCTTTTGTAAATAATTTTTAGAGTAAATCATTTAATGTCTTCTTCCTGTAGAATGTGGATTAGAAATTTTTAGGCCTTAAAGTTAATAAAATATTTTTAATGTAAATCAAAGATACATGAGCGTGGATAATCTGTTATCTTTTCAATAAGCAATCTGATCCCAGATAAGAATATTATGATCTTTAATAATTCGGTAATATTAAATTAAATATTGAAAAAAAAAGCTTTACGCAATTGAATTTTATAATTTTTACCTTCTGAGTTTATCTTTCCTTATAGTAATTAGAAATGTTTATAAGAGCATATTTCCACATAAAATATTTTAGGCTGATATTTTATTTACCACACAAAAAAGTAGTGGGAAAGCTACCTTAAATTAGAAGTTCTTCAGGCTTAATGAATGTTTTGGAATTGATACCATTTTGCATATTCTCCAAAATTAGTCTTAGAAACTAATCTTGCACTTACGTAGTTCAGAATTTATTTACTTGGACATATAACTTTAAAATGATTATGAGCTTTGATTTGTTATTTTCTAAGTGTAAGTTATGCTACATCTAGGAAAATCTTGAATTGACACAGCTATTGTTATTGTAACTGAAACCATAATGTGCTCTTATCTTGTATCTTATATGGAAAATAACTCTTTTTTTTTTTGCAACTAAACCCTTTGCTGATATACTGTATGATTTTACAGTATTTTTGAAAGCTGAAAATATTCAGAGTAACAAATTGTTAATATTTTAATATTTAAACTATAATATTTTAATGTGTACATAAGCCCCTAGATTTGGCATTATTTGATTTAATTAATGTATTAACCTTTAAATTTTTTCTAACATGAACATTTCCATACTGTGTTCTTTATGGAATTTATAATTATAGTGTAAGTAGGGGTTTTTTTGCTTAATTTTACCTTTGGAATTATGTTTTATAAAACGTATCTTTAGGAAAAGTAAATATTCAATTAAGTGTTTTGTTAGTGAATTTTATACCGTAACATTTTTTTCTTGAGTATTTTGATATTTTGTACTTTTGTTTCTTTTTATTCTTGAATGTTTAAGATTTCTTGAAAGTAGGAAAAATTTATTTTAGTCTAAAGCAGTATTCCAAATCAGTCTTCTTATTAAGTGCTAGTTTAAGCCATCCAGTCTGGAAAAAGGAATCAGGGTTCTGTTCTTGGTCATTATCAGCAGCTTGATAATTTCTGGTAATTTCTGAATTGTTGTAAAATAAGCGTATTTTATTCTTAATGGAAAAAATGATGTAAGACAAACAAATGTTTTATATGACAAATCAGGTGGTAGAATTTGGAATTAAATACTACTAATATCTTAAGAAGTAAATAACACATTCTTTTCATAGTAATCATGAAGTGAAATTTCATGATTTATGAAGTTAGTTGCTCATTTGAAATTAGTTGTTTTCTCTGCATATACAGACAAGTTTGTAATACCAAGACTGTTTTTCAGTAACCATTCTTCTTATGATAAACAGCATGCTATAGTTTGGAAATAAAATGTATTTTATTTTATTTTTATTTTTGAGACAGGGTCTCACTCTGTCGCCCAGGCTGGAGTTCAGTGGCACAACCCCGGCTCACTGCAAGCTCCACCTCCTGGGTTCATGGCATTCTCCTGCCTCAGCCTCCCATGTAGCTGGGACTACAGGCGCCCGCCACCACGCCTGGCTAATTTTTTTGTATTTTTAATAGAGACAGGGTTTCACCATGTTAGCCAGGATGGTCTCGATCTCCTGACCTCGTGATCCTCCCACCTCAGTCTCCCAAAGTGCTGGGATTATAGGCGTGAGCCACAGTGCCCGGCCTGGAAATAAATTATTTTAAACTCCCTCAGTACATACTCTCTTTTTTTCTGCATTTAAAAATGTATTACATGTTGGATTTCAAAGACAAAATCAAAGAAAAACAGCACTGCCCAAAATAGGAAGGCATTTAAAAGATAAGCTTTTTAGGCCAGGCACAATGGCTGATTCCTGTAATCCCAGCACTTCAGGAGGCCAAGGCGGGCAGGAGTTTGAGACCAGACTGACCAACATGGTGAAACCCTGTCTCTACTAAAAACACAAAAATTATCTGGGTGTGGTGGCATGCACCTGTAATCCCAGCTACTCAGGAGGCTGAGGCAGGAGAATCACTTGAACCCAGGAGGCAAAGGTTGCAGTGAGCCAAGATCATGCCACTGCAGTCTACCTTGGGTGACAAAGTGAGACTCCTTCTAAAAAAAAAAAAAAAAAAAAGGTAACCTCTTTATGTAACTATAGTGAATTTTTAAAAATAGCAAAGTATTTGAAAATAGTGCACCTAATTTAATAGATGGCCATTTAATAGGTTGAAATTATTGTAAATGTTCAGTAATTTTATGGTTGTAGACAAAATTATTGGAAATAATTAGTTTAGAAAAGATTACTTCACATCATTTGGATTGAGAAATTTGTCAAAAAGATTTTGTCACTGTGGAGATGTTCTAGTTTGTCATCTGTAAACTTGGTAAGCATTTAGTTTTAATAGGAGATTTCTATTCTGATCTTTGTATCACTGAGGCCCTCTTACTAGGTTCTTACTTAGGCTTCTTTTTTGAAAGGTATTTCTCCTTCCCCCAGAGGAAACATTCTAAGACTCAATGAGCCCTCACACTATGGTTAGCTTCTAATTATATTCAAATTCTAATATACACTTAGAATCTTCATGCTTCTGTTTCATTGTGTCAGGAACCTTGTTAACATAGTGCTTGTTTCTATGAGACATAGACATATTTTATTCAACTGCAATTAAATCTGGTAACAGTACCAAGTGTATGCCTGTTGTAAATGGTGGTAAGTGAGAACATTAGCCAATCAACAGAATCTCAGATAGATATCAAATACCCTTGGTGCAAACTGCATTTGTGGATAAAGAGGCCCCATGTGTTTGTCTTTTTTTAATTGATTACAGATGATCATTTCTATTTGAACGTGAGATATGTGTTCAGTAGAAACATAACAATAGTTAAAACATTATTACATTGGCAAGGGAAGAATTCTTAGTTTGCACAAAATTTTCATAAAAGCTCACATCATATTCTCATGAACTTGCTATATTACCAAATATGCTTGTGAAAATGATTTTATACATGCATTAATATCTATATATGCAGATATGTAGATATACAGTCATGTGCCAAATCATGATGGTTCAGTCAAGGATGGATGTCTATATGACAGTGGTCACATAAGATTATAATACTGTATTTTTACTGTATCTTTTCTGTGTTTGGATGTGTTTGGATATACAAAATACAATTGTGTCACAGTTGCCTATGGTATTGAATAGAATAACATGCTGTACAGGTTTGTAGCCTAGGCACAACAGGACTATATCATAGCCTGGGTGTGTAGTAGGCTATACCATGTAGGTTTGTATAAGCACACTATATGATATACAATAATGAAATCACACCCATCTTGCTTTTTATATTAAATAGTTTGCAACTTGATGGTATCTTAAATTTTAAAATATTTGTTGTAAAATAATTTACCATAAGTGATGACATGGTGCTTATGAGTTTATTCAGTATAATTTATGTGTCTTTTATTTCATCATAATTTATGAAAATATTTTATTTTGTATGATGGAATGAACAAAAAACACTGTACTTGTTTTTGTTTTTACAAAGAAATTCTTTATATTTTCTGTCTAAAACAAAGATCCAGCCATAATTGTAATAGTACCTGGGCACCTAAAAGAGGGAATACAGTTACTATCCTTAATCAGTCTTAACTGGTTATTGATTAGATGAAAAGTTGAGTTTATTAGTTATAGAAGAGTCTGGTAACTGGTTATTGGATAAATGAAAAAGAAAGAGTTCTCATTAGAACCCTTCATTAACTGCACTAAAAAGTAGAATATTTGACTGTGGCATGGTAATGAGAAATATGGGAGAAGTAGAGGGGATGCTCTTAGCTTCTTTCAAGGTTCACCGAAGTCTGCTAGTCATTATAATACTATATGCAAAATAAGTACTTGTCGCATATTATCATTTGCCTAAGACATGGCTGCTTAAGTAAGGTAGTTGACTATATGTTTCTCTTTTAAAATGAGGCTGTTTAAAAGCAGTAGTACATAATAAAACTATAACCACAGGAAATCCAAAAAACCAAAAATATTTTAAATGTATATGATACAACTATATTTATATATTGAGATTTTATGTATTACATTAATTTTTATTTGCTAAAGTTATATTTTTATGTAAGCTTAGTTATGGACTCATTAATGGATCATATTCAGATAAACTATGGCAAATGACTTAATTGATACTTTTAGTTAGTAGTGAAATCATTTTCAAAATATTTCATTTTCATCCCCTTATTAGTCATATAAATTTTGTACTTCCTGAAAAAAAGTTTTTTATTGACTCTAAGATAAGTTTTGCCATATTCCTTACAAGAATGAAAGCATTGGTGAATTACTTGACAGTTGCAGAATGTGCCACTTTGAAAAAAATGTTTCTAATTAAATACTGTATAATAAAATGTCCAGTTCAGGCGTCACCATGAGAGAATTATTTTTTCTTCTTTGACTTTGTATTTTACATGTTTTCATTGGGTCATATAGTATCTAGTACAAAGAAAATTGACCTGGTAATCAGGAGACCCCTGTTCTATTTCTGGCTCTGCAACTGAACTTGTTTTTTATCATTGGGTAAGTCACTGGAACTATGTGTGCCTCTGTTACTCACTAAAATTAATTAATGAGTGAATTGAGAATAATTTTTCATATTTGGATCCACGTAATATGAAAACTATTGGATTGATAACACATAAAGTAATCCAAAATATAGGAAAATACTAGGTGAAGAAAGAAGCTTCATTTATTTGTGTAGTTTTTAATACTTTCTGCAAACAATAAAATCTTTTCTTAGAGATGGAATATATGGAAACCATTATTTCATCCACTTCATACCAATTTCATTTTAACATTTGAGGAAACTCTTTTAGTAGTGTGGAAAATGTATATCTAGGGAAATTTTGTGTTTAAAAACACAATGCAACATATGAAAGTCGGCATTAGCCTAGGTTATTAATAAACTGTGATTTTCCTACCTTATTCTTCTTTGAGAAGCAGGTGGATTGATGATGGAAACAAAAATATAGCATGTATCATTTTAATGTGTATTAGTAAATTTCAGAAGAATATGAAGATTTTTTTTCTAGTGGTTAATCCTGTTAGCAGTATGGTTTGTAATTTGTGATGAGATTTAATGTCTTATTTTCAACAGGTGAAAAAATGTGTTCATATAATAATGAAAATGATATTAAATTTCAAAATGTCATTTCTTTTCCAGTTTTCTATAATTCATACTAAGATTTCTGGGTTTTTTCTAAGAAAAATTTGTCTACATTGGTCATCTTAGCTAGTACTAATGGACTTAGTCTAATGGAAAGTTTTTATTTTATCACTATTCATATAAAGAGACAAATTTGTTATAGGAAATCATTCTCTAAAGAGCTATAATTTTAATATGTTAATATTGCAAGTATATTTTGATGCAGTATGCTTTGCTGTATACATCACTCAAAAAGAATGATGCAACTATTGCAGAACTTAAATGTGGTGTTTGATTTTAGAATTTGTAGTAGCTGATTCAGCGCTAAGTGTGTAAATTAAAATAGAAAATTTTGGTTTTGTGGCATATTGTTCATCTGTGTCAATCATACTCACTAATATCTTTGAAAGAAATTTTTTCTTAGAATGCTGATTTTAACAGACATTTTTCTGTTTTGAAGTCACTGTGTAAAATGTTATTTGAACTTCTTCACTAGCACTGAGGGAAAAAGTATTTCCAAAACATGTGTCATATCTGTTATAGTTGATGGATTTGGATGGATACATTTTAGCATAAATTTTAATAATCTATAAAGTGGCATTTGTAAGAATCTGTTGAATGAATAGGATTAAAAGGGAATATGATCAAAGAAAATTTGTCTACATTGAAGTTTAGTTTGGATTTTTAATGCTGAAATGAAGCCATATATTTCAGCTACTCTTCTAATAAAGACTTGTACTATAATTATTACTTCATTAAATTTTTATGATATTTTGCTGTATTGAAATAATTCAATTAAATATTAGCCTGATGACCATTCTTTGTTTTTGTGTGCACACTGATTTACTGGGGAAGCATAAAAGGAATAGAAATCTGTTGAAACTATTTTTATTGCTCTTTTTGGTGATGACTCAATTAAATCTTTTCTTCAGACAATTAAAAGTTCGAAAGCATTGTAACAGACTTTAAATTAACTCAGTAATGTCTTGAACAATGTGGTCATACAACTAACACTGTTTTTACTAATGGTATCTTTCTTCAGCATTGGTGTTCAGGATTTGCTGTACGTAAATAATTGTAAACTTTTGGATCCTCTTTATTTCTACACTAACTTTATTTTTCTAAATCTGCTAACCTATAGTAGCAAAATCAACTTGCCATTAGTTCTTATGTATTTTTTTGTGGAATGCATTTGATTATATCTTCCCTAAAACTGTACACAGGATTCTTTCTCAAAATGATTTGAGGCCCTTTCCATCAGTGTCACTTTTTACCTTTTGAGTACATCCACTCACTCCCATCTCCTTTGTCTATGTCTGTCCATTACACGATGTGATCACAGAAGAACTGGACTCTACAAGGAGAAGATATGCAGGTCTGTCTCTTCTGCTTTTTTTGTTATTATTTTATTTATCTAACTTGTCCTAGAAATGTTTAATCATTTTTTATTCATTTCATAATTTTTCATTCCTTTGTAATATAACAAAATATTAAATCTTAAGAGTATTTTAATTTAGGCATTTGTATATTCAACTATCAACAGCAACTGCTCCAATTAGATGGATAAAAGTAAAATAATTTTTTAATATGTGTATATGTAATTTTTCCATAAACTGAATAACTAAAGGCAAATGGAATGTGTGTGTATGTGTATGCTTAGGTACACACACACACAGAGAGAAATATATGTTTGGTTTCAAGCATTTTAGACTTAAAACTAGTTTTTGGTTTTTTAAAATAATTTCAAAAGTATTTGATTTCTAACATGAGTTCATCAGTGTTCTACACTGTGGAGAATACCAAAGACCTAATACCCTAAAAAAGCTATCAATATCACTGAAGAGTTAAAAGATGTGGATAACATGGTCTGTTTATGTGTCAGTGCAGCTTATTCTGACAATATATTCTACAGAGATATAAACTGAAATAAAGCTTATTTCAACTAGACAGTCAGAAAAAGTGTCTTAGAAGAGGTAACACTTGAGCTGAAACTTGAGCATTCATTAAACACATTTGGTACTGTTCTAGGTGCTGGAAGTAACAGGAGACACACAATAGCTCCCTATCCTTGCAGGTGTTTCCTAGTGTGAGTGTATGTATGTGTGTGTGTATATATATATCCTTGCAGGTGTTTCCTAGTGTGAGTGTGTGTGTGTGTGTGTGTATATATATATATTGTGTATGTACATATATATACACATATATATAAAATATAATGGAATCAGAAAAGATGGTATGATTCCTTTCCCCTGGGAAGGACAGATATTAGTTCAAGAAAGATTTCGTAGAAGAATTTGGTTGAATATTAAAAGCTAGAACACTGTTAGCCTCTTGTGTAGAGAGCATTTCAGGCAGAGGAAACAGTATGGCCAATAGCTTCACACAAGTTTAGGCAAAAGTAGGCAGAGACCAGATTTATAAAGATTGTGTAAGTTACTGAAACATATAAAGCAACAGAATAGGTAGATATTTGTTTCTAAAAGATTACTTTGGCAGTTATGTAAAAGATGGACTGCAGCAATATAAGCAGAAAGATCATATATGGAGATAGTGTAATGAATCAGTTAAGAAATGATAATGGTCTGAATTAAGGTATCAGTAGAGGCAATCAATACATGAGAAGTTATATAAAGATGTAGAACCTACAAGTCCTGGTCACTGATCAGACTGGATATTATTGATGCAGGAAGAAGAGGAATAGAATGATTTCAGGTGACTGAAATGTTTGATGGTACATTTTATTAGGATAGGGAATATATGTTGTACAAGTTTCAGGGGAAAGACAGAATTCACTTTTAGAAGTATTCGCGTATAAATATCTTGTAGAGATAATTGGTTGTCTGGAATTCAGGAGAGAAGTCTGTGTTAGAGACATAGACTAGGGTAGCATATCAGCATTCAAGTGATGCCATTGGAATTAATGGAATTGTCAGTAGTATGTGAAGAGTAAGAGAGACAAGAATCAAAATTTGGGGATTACCAGCACTTATTTACATTTAAGGAATGGATGAAAGAACAAAAGCCAGAAAACGATGTTGAACATGATTAAAGACAGTAGGATATTCATGAAAGAAGAGAATTTTTAAAAATCTATGATAGAAGTGAATCTTAAGAAAGGGGTATAAGCAGCGGAGACAAATTCTAGAGAAGACAAATATGTTGTTAAATGGTAGAACTAGTCAATAATGATCTTTGCCTTATTGATTCAGTAAAGTTGTGGGTAGAAACCAAATAGAAGGGAAAGGAGATGGAAAAGAAAAAAATGAAGGTAGTTAATATAAAATAGGCTTCTTGATGGCTTGGGGAAATTTTAAAGTTAAGAATACCATGGGAAATGAGACAGGGAGCTCACCAAGGATATCCTGAAGAATGGTTATAGTTTAGCTGAGTGGAGACCCTAAATTTGTGATGGCATTGGTTCTCTAAGATTGTGTAATGATTGGCTCATTAGTACACTTTGGATGTAGTAATTAATCATTTGGATCACAGCTGGAACGTTGTGGGCAGTTATATAGAAAGTAGAGGAGAATAGGGATATTTAGGGTGGCTGGCAAGGGAAGTAGTTGAAGTGATGTTCAAATGGATTGGGAAGGATGTTCTGTTAAATCATGTTTTCATGTAAAATCATGCAGAATTTTTGATGAATTGGGAGAGAAGGTCTCAATGAAAGAAATGAAATTTGTGGTGATATCTAAGGCAATAGAAGCAAACTAAGCAGGTTATTATGAGAGACAATTTAATTATCTTTAGAATTTTCAGATGTTGGACAATTCCAAATAATGTGAAGATAAAATGTTTGTTTTGAGGAGTGAGTTTCCAAGATGGAGCATGGATTACAGTTTGCAAATAAAGCAACAAATTTTGATGCTAGCATTTTTATACAGACATTGAAATTATTGACGGCCTCAGCTTGATAGATATGTGAAGGAAATTGCCTGGAATATAGATGGTAGCAACAAGGAAGAATAATGGTATGAACATAAAAGGCATAGACTTCACATAGATTAGAAAAGTAAACATGTGGAAGCAGCAATTCATACCAACAAGAATGCTGATGCCATTTCCGAGCTTCTATAGTATATATGTAAGTTAAAGGATTTTGAGCAGCTTCCCCTCAGAATGTTTCTGAGGGAGATAGTATTCTTGAAGGGTCAACATTCCATTCATGATACGAAGGGAAATGAACGTTCTCTGATGAAGTTGAGAGATATATTGTATTTAAGTAAAAGGAACAGGGTTTTAGACCACAGTAGAAAAGATTAGGAGGTCTCTAAGCAATGCAGAAAGAATTAGAGAAAGAAGCTCAGGATAGTAGGGTTTTGATGTACCAACTGGAAAATGTTAAGAATGAGTGCTGGTTGGAAGGAATGAACCATGTAATTTAGTAGTAGCAAAACAAGGAGAATAATAAGGAATTTAAGCTTAGAGAGGGAAGAAAATTCAGAGGTACAACTTAAAGGTTGAGCAAAGGAATCTTTATGATATGCATAAAGGCAGAGGAAAAGGACTTGGTTGAGAGAATTTGAAGACTCCAAAGAGGAGAAGATTAATAATGGAAGCAACTTTTCTTACAAAAAAAAAAAAAATGGTATCTAGGATGTGTGCTGAATGTTTAAATTTATGGAGGCAAAAATGTTTTATTGTCTTCAAATATTAAGTTCTAAATTAATTATCATAGTTAACTAAACATAATTTGAAGTCTTTCTTAACATACACTTTTAAAATTGTAATGGTAGCTATAGACATATAACACCCATTTTCCTCCTAGTATGATGAAGTTGAAGCCTGAGCTTTCTGAATTTCTGTTACAGACCCCTAATACTGTAAGGGAGACATGGTCTATATAACCAGCATTGTATTTGGGATTCTACAAACTCACATAAGCCTAGAGATAAATAAAGACTAATGCATTCTCTTCCAAAGTAAGAGTAAAGCGAGAATAATACAGAGGATAGGAAAACATTCAGAGAAAAAGGAAATCATTTTAGAAGAGGAAGCAGTAAATTTTGTGACAAGCAATTCAGAATGTATTTCACCTGTTTAATAAAAGCAAACTAAAGTTAAGGCTTTTCAAAAACTGACTGTAGTATGTGGCCAATAAAAGGTAATATCTTTATTATTCTGTCACTCACATCTCTAATGAATATGCAATGAATATGCAAGTTGGTTATCATTCTTTATAAATTTTAGCCCAAAATATGATGGAGAAATAATTTCACAAGTCCAGTTACTTCACTAACATATTTGGTCAAAGTATATGTTTTATGTTTTAAACCACAATTATAAGACCTTCAATTGCATTACAAGGTCCAATTACAATCACTACATCATTCTACACAATAAATGGAGGAATTGATTACACATCTGAAAGCAGCAAAAAATGTTGACTTAGCACTTGCAAATCATAATGAAGCTTCTTTTAAATGAGAAGTAGCATGCTTTATTAGGATGTATTACACCTTTTCTTACTCATATGAAATTTCATATCACAATTTTTTTAAAATCGTTGTTAAACAAGTCTAATACAAAATAATTTTTTAAAATACTATTTGTTAAGTTACATAAACTAATATCTTAAGTTTCAACTACAAAAATTTTTAGAATTACTTCCAGACCTGATTTAGAGCATTTGACAAGATTGGTGCTTGTATAATATACATTTTACTCATAAAGAGATCTCAGCTTAAAAAATGTTTTGTCAGCTGTGTTTCTCACCAGTCTCTTAGATTAATTATTATTATTGTGATATTTATTTTTGTTATGATATTATGTTAATAATTATTAAATTATTATTATAGTTGGATCTGTGCTACCTTAAGAGTTTGAGAAAATATGTTATAAATTACTATTTCAGACTAATCCATTTGTCTTCCAGATACTAATGTTAATTTGAAAAGCTTAACAATTCAAATGGAATAGATTTCAAACATTTCTTAATAAAAATACAGTTGGGATTAAGTAACATATATTTTGTGTTGTAATTATAATGTTTAGTAAAATAATCACTTACTGTTAGGGTTAGCTAAGTGAAACTTCTAAAAATTAATACAATTACAGTACTCTTTTCTGTTTTGGTTCTCTGATTATTCTGAATGTTGCCCATTGATATGTATTATCTTAGTCCATTCAGACTGCTGTAACAAAATGTCATAAGCTAGGTGGCTTATAATGCACAAAAATTTATTTCTTACAGTTCTGGGGACTGGAAAGTCTAAGTAAGATCAAGGCGCCAACAAATTTAGTGTCTGGCTAGGGCCTGCTTTCTGGTTCATTGACCGCCATCTTTTTTTCTCTTTGTCTTAATATGGTAGAAGGGGCAATGGATCTCTCTTGGCCTCTTTCATTATGGCACAAATCCCACAACACCCACATGAC